GAGAGAGAGAGAGAGAGAGAGAGAGAGAGAGAGAGAGAGAGATGGGCGGATCTGCTCAGGGGAGGCAACCATGTATTGAGGACCCTGGGACTGTGGTCTGCTAAGGAAGCCAAGGAGAGGGGTGTCCTCCATGAGGTCATCATGTCGGTGTTCTGTGACGAGAGAGGAATGGGAGGAAAGCTAAAGGAGAGAGGATGGGAGCGTGTATCGTGTAGAGGTGGCTGAGGAAGAGCAGGTCCAGCAGGGCTTTGGCGTATTGAGGAGGTCCGCCTTTGTTCCCAGGGTCACCAGGGTCACTGGTCCTGGCCAGTGCTGAAGGAGGATTTCTCAGTGGACGGCGTAGACTAGACTTTGATTTAATAAAGCAATTCTTTAGAATCCTATCTTTTTTAAAAAAAAAAAATTAGCAAGCTGGATCATTTAAAGTATCACGTATCACTAACAGAAACTATTTTAATCAAATATAAAAACCCCACAATTTTAAGATGTAAGATTATTTTGTAGACAATCAAGAAAGAAAAAAAAATCCCATCATGGGCAGTGTTCTAGGAAATGCTATACAATGTGAGGGCGACCGAGAGACAGCGCCATCATGCAGAAGAAACACTCCTGGCTCAACGTGGACCCTCGGTAGAGATGAAAACCTCAGAGCAGGAGGCCTGGCTACCTTTGCAGCATTACTCTGGGATTGGACCACGTCAGTGTGTGTCAGAAGAACCCCGAGCAGGGACTGCTGTGCCCCGGAGTCAAAGGCAGGGTGACCCCACCTGGCTCGCCAGAGTTGTGCAGTCTTTTCTCCAGATGGCCTGTTTCAGTCCAGGCCTACAGTATAAGATGCCACATTGTTTGGGAGGTGCTGCTGATGTCTGAGGTCTGACATTACACATCCTGGAATCAAGGAAAGACTGAGAACCTGTGCCTTATGCTAAAGACAAAGGACTCCACAGTTGCTCCAAAGTCCTGTATGCCCTGTCACAGCATGTTGCATACTTGTTTGATACAAGATGCTACAAATGTTAAAGGTCCTTTTGGTTGCATCAACAGACCTTGACCTTTAGATCTGGTTTGCCTAGAAGAAGAAAGCCATGGATGGGAAGATGCTCATGAACTTTCTTTGAAGGCTGAAGTAAATGCAAGAAGATTTGAGGGTTGGTGCTGACTTGCTTAGGGAGGATGGGAAAAGGAGGAGAGCTGATTTTCTTGGGTTTGCAGAATCAGCTACTCTGTTCATGCTGAGAAGGTCCCCCGAGGTAAATTACCCAATACTCTCTCCGTATAGCAGCTTATGGGGCAGCACTTCTCCAAGGTCGCAAGCTGCCAGCCTCTGAGCTGGCTCAGAGCCACAAGCCATAAGCCACAGTGAAACTGTCCTCTATGTTCATGACCAGTCATTGGTAACAGTGTCTCCTCTAGATGTTTCACAACCTGATCTTCTGATGTCACCTGCCAGACAAACTCCTTTCTCCTAAGGTATCAGAACCTGATAAAGGGGTATCTGAGGAGGCCCAGGAAATAAATGCAGCCAGTGGCCCTGTTTGCCCCTTACAGGCTCTCAGCTGGTATTTTTTTTCTTTTGAAGACTTGAGGGATTTTTATTTTATTTTATTGATTTTTATTGAGCTCTACATGTTTCTCTGCTCCCTTCCCTGCCTCTCCTTTCCCCTTCAATCCTCTCCCAAGCTCCCAATTTACTCAGGAGATCTTGTCTTTTTCTACTTTACGGTCGCAGCAGAAAGGGATGTGGGGGTTGAAATGTTTCATTGGGTCCCAGAGGAAGGAGGCCCAGGAACGGCACACTGCTCTATGAACCACTGCCACCATGGAAGCTTTTGCATTTATGGAAGATATATTTATATATGGGGAGGCACATATGTGGACAGTACAGTTTATACATATGTGTGTGCACATGGAAGCCAGTGGTCAACCTTGTTATTCCTCTGGAGAGATCTTCCTTGATTTTAGTCTTAGGGTTTCTGTTGCTGTGAAGAGATGCCATGACCAAGGCAACTCTTATAAAGAAAGACTTTTAATTGAGGTGGCAGCTTATAGTTTCACAGGTTTAGTTCCTTATCATCATGGGGAGCATGGTGGCCGAGAGCATGGCAGGGGGCGTATTGGAGTTGCAGAGGGGCCAGTTCAGTTGAACAAATGCTTATTGTATTCTATTTCTAGGGGGAGGTGACAGATAAGGACATGGTTGGCAGGGAGAGGTTCTTTAGTGATGTAGTCACTGGTAAACTCACCCAGGCTCCTGTAAACAACTCTCATGTATCTCATCAGACACACATAAACACACACAGACACACACAGAAACACACAGACACACACAGATACACATAGACACACAGAGTAACACACAGACACACAGAGACACACAGAGACATACGCAGACACACAGATACACACAGACATATACAGATACACACAGACACACACAGATACACATAGACACACAGAGTAACACACAGACACACAGAGACATACACAGACACACAGATACACACAGACATATACAGATACACACAGACACACACAGAAACACACAGACACACATAGACACACACAGAAACACACAGACACACATAGACACACACAGACACACAGAGACATACACAGACACACACAGATACACACAGACACACATAGATACACATAGACACACAGAGAAACACACAGACACCCCCCCACACACACACACATGACTTGAAAGTAGAAGAGGCACTAGTTAGGAAGAGAAGTAGTAAAAGAGTGGAGGAGAAATGGGAAGGATTAATGGGGTATGCATGTGTGTATGTGTATGTGTGTGAGAATATGATTGAAATACATTATGTACATGTATGAAAATGTCATAATGAAACCATATATTAAATATAATTAATATATGCTAATAAAAACATTAAGAAGTTACTCCAAGTGGAAAAAACATATAGTATCAAGCCAATGGGGCCCAGTCAACTGGGAGGTGGAAAAGACTTGGTAAGCAATCCTTTAGAGCAGAGGCTGGCAACCTTCCTAACACTGTGACCCTTTCATACAGTTCCTCATGCTGGGGTGATCTCCAACCATAAAATTATTTTCATTGCTACTTCATAACTGTAATTTTGCTACTGTTATCAATCATAATGTAAATATTTGTGTTTTCTGATGGTCTTAGGCAACCCCTATGAAGGGTTTGTTTGACCCCCAAAGAGGTCACGATTCACAGGATGAGAACCGCTGAGGTAGAGGTATCAGACACAGCAGAGATGAGTTCTGGCTCAGGCAGGGCAGGAAGGACAGCAGAAGGCTGCGGAGGTCTTGAGCAGCTGCCCCATCACGGAGATACCTGCCTCCTCCCGTGTCGGTAGGAAGAAGGTTCTGGGCAGAATCTGGAGGGCTGAGTGCAGACTGGATCAGGAGCTTGGAA